TAATTTTAATCAATTATAGAATATTATATTATATATACTTTTCATTTGAGTTTTTATGTTTTAAAATATTTTGTTATATTTGACTCTTATATGTGCCCTGTATACTCTCGATATTGTTTTTCTCAAAAATATTGTATTTTGAAGGTTTTTGGTCTTGCTGATTCCAATTCTGAGCATAGATTTATAAAATTTCGAGCCCTAAGCGCAATATTAACAACATAAATGAATATAAACGAATAGATTCAGAACTTTCCTTTAACATTATTTAGAGCTAACGATATGGACGTAGAAAATTTGTAGTTCCTTTTTGACTTTTCTTTTTTGTTTGATTTTTTACATTTATTTTTTGTATTTTTTTTTACTTTTTTTTGTTTTATCATTTCTTTATTTTTTTGTATTTTAATTTTTTGTATATTTTTCAATACTTATATATTTTTATACATTTTGAGCAACATGCATACAATTATGTTTAATACAATATTAGTATTAAAAATACCACCAAAAATAGTAGTATTTTAAACTATACTCAAAAGTCACAAAAGCGTTTTTCCTGGCGGTCTAAAAGGAAATAAAAAAATTACTGCGTATATATACGTGTTTAGAAATAAAAATGAACTTTGTGGAAGGTTGTTTGTCCCGAGGGAAGGGGAGGTAGGGTGGATCTCGTTTTGCATGGAATTCAAAAAACCATCTCGAACAATACAATTAGACCTCATTTCGCCCGTAAAGCAGTGCACTTTTTTATTAATAAGTTTTTAACAAGTAACGAGCATCAACTAAAACCTGTTAGACGTGCCTCAAAGTTATACTCAAGGTCATGATTTTGATAACATATATCAATACCAAGGTCATCAGAGCTGAAAGTCTCTTATGTGACTGTAAAAACTAAACATTTATCAAAATTTTTTAATGAACTAAAAAGCCTTCACACAAAAAACGAGATTCTAAATTCATATAGATCTTCTAAATTCATATGTCGTTTCCATTTCCGTTCTATGCGATGAGAGTCGAGTAATGATTGGTTGAACCTCAAGCATTTTTGAAAAATATGTTGAATTGTCAAGATTGCTTATTATTTTTATTCTTCAATATTGTATTATTGTATAAATTAATTTTATTTTCGGTATAAAAATTGCATAAAGCAAGAACATCCTTTCATTTAAGCCAACTTCAGAGATACGATCATTTCGAGATTTAAGAGATGCGTTTTGCAAAAACGAAACAAAAGCTGCTGCGTCTGTCACCAGTGATTTCTTCATGCTAAATCACATAAACCTTTCAGGCCTATCATAATATAAAATTCCTGTACATGATGGCAAATTGATCAATCCGGCCTTAATTAAGTGCCGGTTATACCTGCCAGCATGGACTGTTAACGTATTGTAAACTTTCACAAGATGAAAAAATACTGGATCCATTATTTGAGCGCCAAGAAAAATCGTTGCGCTAAGCAGAAAAGTTTACCCTTTGGAGACTCTAGAAAATCTATTTTTACGAGGTTTTTAAAATGTTTTTTCAATAATCATTCAATCTAAGTCATTATGTTTTGGATTATTTTTCTGAATAGTATTAAATAAGCTGTCATATTAAATGCAGTGTTATAAAAATGTGATATTATATATTTCTCACAAAGACATATCGATAAGTATCAATCTAAGTGCAGAAAAATTATTATATTTTCATTAAAAAAAAATTAAACAGAGTTTTCCACAAATCGATACAAATGTAAATTGTTCTATCTTTATTATTGGAATATCAAGAAAGGTAGAATGATATGTCATTAAATGAAAAGCACCCATAATTTAGCAAAGAAAAATTTTTTGTTAGATTTCTGGAGAGAATAAAGGTGTTTTGTTCTCTCTCTCTCTCTCTCTCTCTCTCTCTCTCTCTCTCTCGTAATGAAATTTTATAAGAAACATTAATAGTATATTACTATAAAAATATTGTGTGTGTATATATATATACACATATATATATATATATAAATTTTTACGTCAAGAATCACTTAATATCAATAACAATCAATGATGGCGAGCCGAAAACCACGAATGCAACCTGGTTTGACAAGGACGCAGGCACTACGACAGGCGAGAAGTGCCACTGTAGTGAGAGAATATGAACAGAAGGAAACAGGACGACAACCACAACCAGTCTTGGCAGACCCTATCAGAAGGCGACAGTATACTCCAGCTGAGCCAAGGAGAGTCGATTTTGCCAGACCAACTATGACAAAGGCGATGCTGGCCCGAGTGAAGCATGCGGAGAAGGTCAAGCAGGAAATTGAACGTAAACGAGAGGAATCTATGCCGCGAAGGAGGCCAAGAAGGACACCTGCACCGATCGGTGGTGATCCTAGGTGAACTTCGAAAATTATGTGTAGCTTCGATATATTATTTCAGCTGGAAGCTCTAAAACGTTTTGCATGCTGAACTAAACGTTAAGTTAAGTTACTTAAGACTCCTGAGTAATCGCCGCGGCCATGTTGAAATCATACGAAACATAGATAACATCAGAAACGAGGAATGACGCGTTAATTTATGTTACGTGCCATTTGTAAATAAAGACAATTTGAATAAATGTAAATGACGAGATTTAAAACACTTGTAAAAACTAAACAAAACTGTCCTTTTCTCTCTTGACAGTCAGCAAATGGTCGTAAAAGACACATAAAGTGAGCCTATGTTTGAACAGAAACACACGATCTGATAGCAGTTGAAACGAGTTAAAAATATGCTTTTACATATAAAATTCTAAGATAACTTTAGTTTTCCTCAATACTATAAATTTAAAATGCCTATTACAGTCGAAGCTGGATCTTCATCGCTTTAAATAATTCAATTTTGAATTACTAATTTATACTATATATGTACTTGCACCATATTGTAGTCTTTTCCCAGTGAGAAATGACAATGGAATCGATTCGATGTCGAAATCATCGAATTGACGTCGAATCGATATCAATTCCATTGTCATTTCTCACTGGGTTTTAACTGCGCGCCGCAAATTGTTTTTCCGGACTATAAACGAAATTAAAACTCTAATAATCACGAATTAAATTGACAAGCAATTTTAATAATTTGATGCTACAATTAAACATAGTACGAGCCTCGATGGTCTAATGGCTTAGGATACTCGTACGGAATACAAGAGATGCGGGTTCAAGTCCCAGCCCAGATAATATTTTTCGCAATAAGTTTATTAACAGTTTTCCAATATATTAATATCTTTATAATGCTTGATTGTAGCATCAAATTATTAAAATTGCTGATATCAGTCATCCGAGTTTGATTATCAATAGAGCCTAGCAAAATACCTCCACGGTATTGGTACGATGAGCGTACGGCGTACTATGTGTGCTGATACCGTACCTGTCACGTACGTGCGTATTTAAAGCTTACAGTACACCGTACTTTTGGTACGCCGTGCCGATAATATACGCCTTAGATATGCATGTTACCAAAATTAATTAATTTTATAGTTTTATTACTAAAATGAGTATTTTATTATTACCCAGATAACTAAACGTGCGATATTCTACGATATCCGCACAAAATATCGCTACCGTATTGTTACTGTATTATTACAAGGTAGCGATGTACGGCGTAACTGTACACAGTAACAGTACAAAAAATGTATATGATATTATAGTATCAACACTGTACCTATACTGCATACCGTTTAGGTACATCATAGTACCGTTTTTCCTCAAATCCATCCTAAATATATTTTACAATTTTTACGCTCTAGATTTGGTAGAGAGAGACCTATTAGACGTGCCCCGTCTCCGCCGATCTCGCCTCCTAGACCAGCGAGAAGGCCAGAAAGACGAATAATGCCAGAGAGAAGAGCGCCAGAACCGACTATCCCCGAGAGAACCAGGGAATTAGCGAGATCCATGAATGCTCAGGTGATCCAAGCCGAGCCAGTAGGCGAGGGCCCAATTGATAGCATTGTGATACCACCGAAATCGGTGAACGAGAATCGGACCACTATTGTTAGCATCCCTCAACCACCTGCGATCAGCGTTGAACCGTGTGAAGTAGCGAATCGCTCGATTCAAGTGATCAGGTGAAACTTGAAATTATCCCGATGATGTCTTGGAAAAGTAGATGAATAAAACTAAATCTAAAAAGATTCGTTCCTGCGAGATGAAAGTTGGAAAATTGCGGATCTCCTTTACTCCTTTTTGTCTCTAATGCAAAGAAAATATGAAAAAAAAAAAAAAAGATTATATTTCAAGATGCAAATCGGATTATGTATTTAAAATTTCTGAATCTTTTAGGAACATTACAGTAAAGTTAATGAATCCAGAATTATTTCATGATAAATATTGGGAATTTCTTTGTTCATGGAATAAATAATTCCAAAAAATTTTTTAAATTCATTTATTTATCAAATTAATAATTGCAATGTTTCAATGACTTGTTAATCACGGACATTGTTTGGTAGTGAGACTCTCGATGAGCAAGATGCTGCTGAAGCGGAGACAGTGCATGGCAAGTTGGAGGACTTGCAGCAAGCAAGACGAGACTTTGTAATAGCTGTGGCGAATGTCGCTGGTAATGCCGTAAAACTCACAGAAGAAGAAAGATCTAGATACATTCACAAGTAAGAATATCAAAAGAAAGAGAGAAAATAAGAGTTAAAATTTTTAAAACATGTTATTCGATCAACATGCAAATATTTTTAGTTTAGTTATATTTAAAAATCAATTAAAGTAAGCTAATTAAATAAAAATGTAAACTGCTCTAGTCGTATGAAAATGTAAATACAAATTCAAAATCAATGGTTTAACTCCATGGATTTGTCGACAAAGTCTGTTAACATGTTTTGCCAGCAGATTGCTGATAAAAACCGAACAGAATCTGCTGACATAATCTGACAACAGATTACTAACAGAAACCGAGCAAAACCTGTTGATATAATCTGACGGCAGATTGACAGCAGAAACAGAGCAAAATTTACTTCCATGAAGTTGGCATCCGACTTTTCCAATTCAGGTTTCAAAGAGTGTTTCTTGTAGAATTTTGCCTGTAGATGATTGTAGTAATCATTATTTTGTTTGTAGTTAAAAAAAAATGATCCCGATTTAAAAAAAAACAGGTAGACAATTTTTTCATCTACAGCTCAAATGGTTTTCATCTACAGCATCAGATTTATATATGAAATCGTTTGTAATTGTTGTAGTGATTTTTCGGTCGTTGTGATTATGTCAGCAGATTCTGTTTGGTTTCCGTCATCAATTTGCTGACATAGTATGTCAGTGGGCTTTGTTATATTTGTGACAGCAGTTTGCTGACATTGTCTGAGTACAAACTTTGTATATACAATAATTTGTTGCCTTCCTACAATCAAAAATTGGTAGCAGGCTTTGCTCAAAATCTGTCTCTGCAGACTTTGCTATCAGGGTCACTTAACACAAAAAAAAAGAACAAAACAGAAGATAGGACCGCTCACGTTTCATATGGAAAAATAACCCCGGTAAAATTGGTTCATTTTAATATGATATACTTCTTGTGATTCTGAACAAATATCTCCATTGTCACATTCACATAAAATCAACAGATAAAAAGATATAGCGCTTTGAAGTCACAGAACTCGAGTGTTGATATCTTTTTAAGAGGGGAGTACACCCTGACCAGCCTGAAAAATGAAGATTTTTTTGAGTATGGATTGCGGGAAAAGTATAAATACGATCCACTTGTAATTTAGCACTTTATTAATACGTATATTGAACTTGTTGTGTTGCAAATTTTATTGAGAAATATTGATATTGCGAGGAAGTACAGCAATCCGTGTAAAAGATGCACTGATAAATAATGTACACGATTCCGCTATTTTGTTTATCCTGAAACAAAAAATCCAAATAGTTTCATAAATAGTAATGTATTCTCGTCTGACCGATGATTTTATTGATAATATTTTTAGTTTCCAAAATACTATAACATTTATAATATAAAAAAATATGTCACTTTCTTGAGGAGGTTTTTAAATTTTTGGTCTCAACTACCCAGAAAAAAGGATTAATTTTTAATCTTGCGAACAAGACGTTTTATCTTTCACATCCAGAATTTCATCAAAATAATTTAGAAATTATCGTGAAAATCTTATTGGAAAATGACTATCCTATTTTTGATTTTTTTTAACACTATGAATTTGAGGATTAAAACTTTAATACACAGATTCAATGAGAATTTAAGATTCTTCCAGAATAATTCAACGAAAAAGAAATAATAGTAGTTTTCCATTCAGTTTGTGAATGGTATCTCTAATAAATTTAAAAACGTAATCAGTGGGATGTGTCAAAAAATATCTTTTTTCAGTTTGAAGAACTTAAAAAAATTCATCAAAACACATAAGCAAGTTTCGTTCGTAGGCTCTCCAACATTTTGATGTCGCTTTATGCGCAAACCACGCAGAATTTTTGTAGTCACGTTTATGAACGTGGTATATAAAGCACAGAAAATCGTAAACAATTAATATCTTGTTAACTTATCGCGTTTTAAAGTCATTCTTGCTATTACATATTAATGGAAAGGGTATATGTTTACTATAATTTATTAAAACTTATATATTGTCTAGAATGTCTCTTCATTGATATACGCCGAGTGACCGAGATTGTCCAGAAAGCATTTTTGATCGCTTAAAAACAATTAGCGATTTGAGCGAGAAAAACGCGATTGCGCACGGTGGAAGGGATAACATGCGCATGAAGGGTGGCGTGTGCAGTTGGACGGGGTCTTTCTAAATCTCCGCCCTCTCTATCTATAGATGTTCATGAGGTGCAAGAAGGCTACAACTGTAAACGCTAAATATGGGACAGTATTCATAGTCCATTTTTATTTTAAAACTGACTTAAGTATAATGTCTTAAGATGTCAATGTAGTCCTCGGATTGACTTACGACATCTTAAGATTGTACTTAAGACAGTCTTAAATGTAAGAATCGACTATGAATACCGGCCTGTTTTGAATCGTGAAATTGGTACTGAACCTTTCCTTTCTCTTTCCGCCTGTTCTCTTTTTATTTGTTGATTTTATGTGAATGTGGCAATGGAGACATTTGCTCAGAATCACAAGAAGTATAACATATCTCAAAACGGACTAATTTGATCGGGGTTATTATTCCCACAGACTTCTATAAGTAGATTGTCAACTTCGCCTCTATCTTTGAAGACAGCGCTGGGCAGCGACATATTTGAGTTCTTCCACTCACACACGTATAAATTACATGGATAAATTCACACGATTACTCACAGACAGGACGCATACATACGCGTATGGAAACTAAACAAAGACAGCTCGGAATCAGGTCATCTCTTTCTATTGCATTAAGTCAGTACAATCTATTTATATAAGTCTGTGATTGTTCCACATGAAACGTGCGGGATCCTTTATAATCCACGCATTTAGAGAACCGGTATATATTGTAAGTAAGATTGTTTTTAAATAATAACTTGTTTTTTTAAATAAATAAATTTGAGATTAACGTTGGAACTTTTTCTTTTCTTCGATAATAGTGTATCAATAAATAACAATTGCTGAGCAAAAAATAAGAGAATTTTTTGATAAAGTTTCATCACTTTTACATATCAATTAGTTGGAAATTTATCGAGTTAATCAATGCCCATGTTTAATACAGAGTTCCTGACATTGAAAGCGAGATGTTCCGTATCGAATACGGTCGAGAACATCCAACCGTCGTGGCGGCACGCGAATTCGCCCAAAGAAGTATGGCCGGAATTAGGGCGCGTGAGGCAGCTCGCCGAACCAAACAAGAATTCGAGAGGATAGCTCAGGAGCCATTGCCGGAGGATCTGCGTTTTGATGTGCCTTTCGAGGAGGAGTTTTTACGTGAGGGCGACATATCCTGGGAAGAGGAGGAAGACATGCCGATTGTGTCTAGGATAAAACCCACGATGCGCGACATACCAAGGCGCGAGGCACCTTATGAGTATCCTTCATTTGATCCAGAGGAGTTAGAGAGATTTTTCGACGTGGAACATTATCCATTAAGTCCACCACGTGGACCACCACCTGGTCGCGAGCATCTTCCGCCGGATCTTTGGGAGCTAGAGGATCCTTGGGCGACATGCGGCATGTGTCCACAGCCAGACGTATCCGATCTCATTCGCTTCGAGAGCCCTTAGTCCTTCGTCTATCATGTACACATGATGTGGTAGACTTGTTTTCGTTTTCAAAATTGATCTAGGATATTCTATAAAAAACTATACTCAATTTGTAATGTATGTTCTCATTTTCTTCCGTAATTCGTTATATTGTTCGTCAATTAAATTGTTGTTGAAATAATTTGCAGAAGTGCATACTTAATGAGGGGAACCAATGAAGAAAATAGATCGATAAATTAAACGTTTAAACGTTTGTGAAACACGAGAAATCATCATTTATCAACATCCGTCTTGCATCGTTTGATTTATTATAAAACAATATTTTGTACAATACTTAAATACTCAGTATTTAAATTTATGAATACTGTATTACAGAGTCTCAAATAAACATTATGGATTTTTAAAGAATATTATACTTGGTTCGTATATCTATTTTATCTCTCGAGAATGAATGAAAATAACAATAATAAAAATTTTTATATATTAAATATATTTATAAAAATATATATATTGATAAAAAACAAACTAATAATTCTAAAACTGTAATTTATTTCTTTTATATCTTAATTTTATATAAATTTTGAGATATTATTTAAAATAAGAAAGAAATATATTAAAATATATTCATATTGTTTGGAAAAAATCTAACAAACAAGTGTAATTTTTATCAGAGAAATTAGACAACAAGAAACTTATATGCTTATCTTTTCATTATTATCTTATATTATCTTGTATTTCCGTGCCTAAAGTACTTTAGACTCTGTTCTTTCATCATAACCTTAGTCCGTGTTTTAATTTTTTAATATTGTAATATTGTAATATGATTTTAATATTGTAATATGTATATGTGAATTAAAGTCTGCAGGTAATATGGTTTCGTTACTTAAGTAATTGTGACTTATGTAACAGTAAATATGCCGATTGGGGGAGGCAGCTCCGATGACCTTGACCTTGACATATGTTGACATGACCTCCAGGTTTTAGCTGTCGCTCGTTATTCGTTAAAAAGTTATTAACAAAAAAGTTCATCGATAAAACCTAACTTTTGAACACAACTGTGCTCTGATGAAACAAATTCCCTGCTTTAACACAAATATTTCCTTATGCAGAGTGTTTGGCAGACTAAACTGAGAAGAAAAGTCCTGTACCATTTTACGATTTTAACAATAGTTAATAAGATATTAATTATTAAAAATTGCCGAAAATTGGTCTTTAATAATTTTTTACTTAAATACTATCAACTTTATAGAAATATTGCAAGAGACAAAAATTGTTTATTTTCTTCTTATAGAACTTCAAAAATTTTTTCAGAATT